AGAAGAAGAAGAAGAAGGGAGAAGAAGGGGAAAGGAGAGGAGGCGGATGGTGGTTCTTGGGTGTATGATGCATCGTGAGTGGGGGAACGAGGTTATGAGCATAGCACGAGACATACCTGATGGTTGATGCGTGCGACAGCGCTCGCCATCTGCTCATACTTAAGGAATGTTGTTGATGTCATCCTTTGGATTTGTAGTATAGGCTAGATAGGATATGCCATATATAGTCTGGGCGCTAAGCGCCAGATAGGATACTCGTTAATAATGAAGATATTATTCCAACATTGTCGATTGTGAACTTTGGTCGGTCTCTTATTTGATGGAACTCGCAATGTTACTCTGCCTTGGTTCGGGGACCCAACTATCTGATCATTCGTGTACGATGTTATTGATGTATGAAAGGTCGCTATTGCTCATCTTCCTGGCATTATTACTATTATTATGATTATTATTATTATTATTTTCTTTATTATTATTATTATTATTATTATTATTATTATTATTATTATTATTTTAAAGATCAGACCCACGATCTTTCTTATGTACACGCGGTGACCGTGTAAGAAGGTCGAGGTAGTGAGTGATACGAGATACATACCTTGAAACTCGAGTAGAACGGCAATTATCGTTACCTGCTCAGAACTGCCGACATCAGTTATGGCATCGTAGTATAGGCTAGGAAGGGTGTGTCATTAATGATTTGGGCGCTGAGCGTCAGCTAGGATGCCAACAAGGGGTCTATGATGATGATGATAATGTAGGGGCACTTACTTTGTATTAACGATGGTCCGATGGGCGACATCTTCAAAATACTTCGGGTTGCTGCTGATGTCAACAGTTGCATTGTCAACTCGTAGAATGTAATAGCTGTGTGAGAATGCGCTTTCGTCGACATTGGTTTTTCAGTTGGGGTAATATTGGTGCAATGGTGCTCTCTGGACACAGTGGGACTATCTGGCTCCCAATGTGATGGTCATCTGGATTTGACATCTCGCCACTGCTTATTTTTCTTGTATTTTTATGCTTTATTGTTATTATTATTATTAGATGCGTGATGGTCTGAGGGTACACATGGCATCTGTAAGTGGAAGGGGGCTCCAGGTAGTGAGCAATACGAGAAACATACCTATTGCTTGAAACATGCGACATTGGTCGTCACATGCACGTACTTTGCGAAAGCTGTTGAAGTCGTCCGTCAGCTTCGTAGTATAAGCTAGATAGAATTTGTCACATGTAGTCAGGGCACCAAACACCAAATGGGATAACAACTCTGGTTCTACGTTGATAGTGATGGGACTACTCCAGCATTGTCAATTATGAACTCTTGGTGCGTTCTTTCTTGTGATGTAAATCTGCTATAGCTTCGAGGTCAAGAATATCTGGTATCATATGACTGATTATTGCATACTAGATCATGCAAAATAGAACAAGGACCGACCTTTTATTTCAAAGTACAAGATGGCGAGCGGAAGACTTATCAATGATCCGACTCAATCAATGTTGCCGTATAGTCCCGGCATTTATCATCATCATACAGTGGTGTGAAGGGCTGGCGCTCACAAAGAATAGAAAGCGCCAGACCCCTACATACACAGACGAAGGGGGAAGGGAAGAGACAGAGGGAGAGGAGAAGATGGGAGATATCGTCAACTCCAAGTCTGCGTCACAGGTCCCAAATAATCCTCAACGAATGTCTGTATCCCGGAATCAAGTCTGATGACAATGTCGTCATGTCCCGTGTCAAAGCTCCATCTCGTAGCCCATAGATGCTGAGAGGTAGGCAGCGGGAGGGGAAGAAGAGATGGTGGACTTAGAAGAGGAAGAAGAAGGTCTCTCTCTCTCTCTCAGTCCAATACTAACCTGTAAAACTGGCGTTTTGATGCAGGTACACCGAGGATGGAGCTGGAGCGATGGTACCACAGGTAAGTACCACTGGCCTCCGCCAGTGTCTCTCTCCGATAC